AGTTCTGATAAAACTTTAAGATTTAGTATTTAAACGCCGAGTCATCCTATACAGTTCTATATTTTTTCGTTTGCTGTGCAAGAATCATACCACAGTAAGTTTACAAACAAGAATGCCAGAGGGGAATTTACTTTCAATAGAAATGATTTCTATAGAAAGCAATAAACCAACCAGGCCATTAACGCAATCTAGAGTGCTGTGACGAGTGTCGTACTATTGATTGGTTAATCAATTTTGATATAAACCACTTTCTAGAAAGTAGTAACTTTTAAGAAACACCAGTTAACTTACCCGGGTGACGCGTCATGACGGATGACTCACCCCAGTAAGTTTTCAAAAATTAATTTTTAACATAAAATTTAAATATATCGATGTAATGTAATTCCAAAATTTTTACCACACATTGATGTGTTTGGTCTAAAACCACGTTTCAGCAAAAAAGATGGATGCGGTAGAGTAAAATTTGTATATATTGGGTTTTTGGAGATACGTGGAATTGCACTGACACCATCGATATATTAAAGTTTTTAATTTTGCTAAAACTGTCAAAATACTGTTCATGCCTCTGTAAAACCTCGCTTGGTTTAAACAAATTTAAAATTAGTTCTTTTTGCTTTCCAAATTGGTTAAATAACCAGGTTTTATAATATTATACATTATACATTATATATATATATATATATATATATATATTATTATTATATTATTATATTATTAACCTATATTTATAATATTATACATTATATATGAGGCATTCCATGTCAACTCGGCCACCCCCTCCTGTGCAAAATTGACTAAAGTTTATCGAAACGTGCAACTGATAAATTTTTAGCTTATCGTCTTAACTTTCAAATGCCGAGTGGTATTTTGTAAAATTTTAAAATGGCGGTGTCAATATAGTGACTGCAAGCAATATACATCACTTTAAAAAAACCGTATTAGGTAGGTTACATTAACTAACAGTGATATAAAATTAAAAATTGAATTTGATTATATGCACTAATCTATTATCAGTGATTCTATGTATTTTTTACCGCTGATTACACAATGGTTCGCCCCTAACCCCAAAAAAAAGCTTAAAAAGCAGTTTTGTGAAATTTACAGCCCCTAAATGCATTTTTGATACATATTTTTGCATTTGTTTTTTGTATTGTATTTTTGCATTTGTTTTTTGTATTTCTCATTGCCTAATATAAATATGGCCTTACCCCAGAGTCGACATAAAACTGTACGTTCCTAACCTAAAAGAACTCTCAAAAAATGTATTTTTACCTTCTTTATAGCTGTTTAAAGCATTTTAAAGATTGGCATGAGGTTAAATTTTTATACTTTTTATCGCCAAGTACGTAAATAATCCAACTATAAATTTCAGACTAAGCAGTTTACCCCTAACCTTAAAAATATTTTCTCTAAATTAGTTTTCTGCAGATACAGATGCTGAAGAAAATTGAAATATGGGATGTATAGATTTATTTCCACACTTTTTATCGCTAAATACGATTATAATCTTTCTTTGACGGCAATTCTTAGTTAACCTATAAAACTTTGCAAAAATCGTATGTTAAAAATATTTTCTTACTACCTCGACTGAAAATACGCACTGTTCACTTATAAAGAAATAAGCTATGCCGGAATATTTCAGAAATAATAGGTTTTTAACTTTAAGCCAGTAGTAGGCAACCAATATTGCCCGTTACCGACTACCTGACACTAATGAGACCCAACAGGTCGAAACAGGCTGTTTGTCTGGTAACGGGCAATATTGGTTGCCTACTACTGGCTTAAAGTTAAAAACCTATTATTTCTGAAATATTCCGGCATAGCTTATTTATTTATAAGTGAACAGTGCCGAGCTTGATTGGTTGCCTACTACTGGCTTAAAGTTGAAAACCTATTGTTTCTGAAATATTGCGGCATAGCTTATTTCTTTATAAGTGAACAGTGCCGAGCTTGATTGGTTGCCTACTACTGGCGTAAAGTAGAAAACCTATTGTTTCTGATATTTATATATACAGACTGTATAATACAGTGCTTGCAAATCCAAGTCCGACCGGGCTTGAAAGGACCGCTGTTCAATACCCGCGTGAAAAGAACAAGGATAGAACGCCAAATAGAATTTGATTGGCCAGAGCCGGCAGGCTACGACAACGCATACCCACCGCGCACCTCGCAGCGTGCTTGACACGAGGATATCAGAACGAGAACTGCAGTGGTGCCAGCATGAGGTAGTAACTTTAGTAAAAAAGATTATTTAATTATAAAATGTACACGCTGGAACAAAAAGTTCAGATTTTAATCTGGAATTTTGCTGGTAATTCTGAACGAGAAATTCAAAGATTATTTGCGGGAATGTTCGAGGCCAGACCAAACAGAGAAACAATTCGACGAACCGTTAATAATTTTCGAGGTTGTTATGGAGAGAGCAAATGCCGACCCAAATTTTATCGGTAATATTTTATTTACTGACGAGTCGAGTTTTACTCTCCATGGCAGGCACAATTCGCAGAATGTTCGAATGTGGGCGCGAGAAAATCATCGTAGGATTTATGCAGCTCGGACACAGTATCCCCAAAAACTTAATGTCTGGGCGGGTATTTTGGGCGACCGAATAATTGTCCCATTTTTTATAAATGGGAATTTAAATGGCGCTAGGTATTTAAATCTCTTAAGAGACCAAATAGTTCCCGCGCTTCAAAATTTAGACGGAGTTAACATCGAAAACGTATGGTTTCAGCAGGACGGTTGCCCCGCACATAATACGATGGCTGTTCGGGAATTCCTTTCCGACACTTTTGGACCTCGTCTTATTATCACGGTGGATTTTTAGGGTCAATTTTCGGATCATCAGGCAACCACGGTTTTTTTTCATAAATCGATTATATGCCTGTTATAGACAAAAAATACCAAAAATAAAAAAAATCTTTCGGTTTTTTTGTTTTTTATTAAGAAAAATATAATATAAATGGGTCTAATTTTACTTTATTGGTTATTTTGCAAAAAGTATCAATTTTATCGAAATTCTGTTTTAACAGTGATTTAGAATAATAAATTTTCTACAAAAAAGGTTATAAGCATTTTCTTTGTAATATATATACTTTAGAAGTAATATCCGTACAAAGTTATAAATTTTTTAAAAATCGCATTTGCTGGTTCTTGTAATTGGAATTACATTGACACATAAAAGTGGATAAAGTTTCTACATTATAAAGTAATTTTTTATATATTTTTTATTGTAGAGTGGAAATTAGAAAGGGCCTAAGTGCCAAAAATAAAGTTTTGAGATAATCGAAAAAAACTAAATAAAAGCCAGGTAAGCAACTGCATCCCTCGACATACTCGACCGGCTAGCCGCGGCTGTAAATTGTAATTTTGGCAATTAAAATTTTTCATAGGTTGCAAAGCATGGCACAGAGAACCTTTTTATATAAAAAAGCCATTTCTTATTTCCTCTCTTCAATTATATATAATAATACTTAGAATTAGTAATATTTAATTAAGTCGAAAAAACGTAATGTATAATACAATTTTAAAATAACTTATTTTAATAAGTAATTTAACTTAATTCTTTGGTTCTTATCACTCAAAATTTTGAAAAATCTTTTTTTCGGGTTTTGACGTTTACATTTTGCTTGGGTAACTATGATTAAAAATTAAATATCGCATCAAATTGTTTAAAAAGTAGATTTTTTATTTCTTTTTACTAATTTTTTTTTTAATTATATGCTTCTTTTATCGATTTTTTCTTAGTCATAAAGTATTAAAATAGAAAAAGAGATCAATTTTTAAAAACTTATCTACAGAAAGACCGACCAACAAATTTTTTTCCCAAGTTAAATAAAAAAAAATTAAGAAAAACATTTGTTTAGAAAAACTACGTTTAAAAATTACAGGAAAGCAAATATGGTAATTACCTTTTTTGTAGAAAATTTATTATTTTATATCTTTGTTAAAACAGCATTTTGATAAAATTGATACTTTTTGCAAAATAACCAAAAAAGTAAAATTAGACCCATTTATATTATATTTTTCTTAATAAATAACAAAAAAACCGAGAGATTTTTTTTTATTTTTGGTAATTTTTGTCTATAACAGGCATATAATCGATTTATGAAAAAAAAACCGTGGTTGCCTGATGATCCGAAAATTGACCCTAAAAATCCACCGTGATTATAGGTCGAGGAGGAATTCTCTGGCCAGCTAGATCACCGGCGCCGTGTGATTTTTTTGTGGGGGATTTTTTTGTGGGGGTACCTCAAGTCGAAGCTGTACGTTTTCCAGGAAGATCGGGCTAATAACCTCAATGATTTAGTAATCCGCATAACTAAGTTGTTGGGGGATATTAGTCCAGAAGTCCTAGCTAATGTGCGTGGGAATTTTTATAATAGGTTAGGCTATTATTTGGCTGCCTATGGGGGCTTGTTCGAACATTTAATTTAATTTTTGAGTTTATTTATTTTTAGAGTTTTATTTTTATTTATAGTTATTTTTATTCAGAATTATTTTTTATTTAAGAAATCTTTTTTATTAAGAATACTATTTTTTGTTGTTGTCCTAGTTCTCAGGGAAAAAAATCAAAAAATTTTATTTTTAGGATTCGGGTATAAAATATTTAAAAAGAAAATTAAAATGTGCATCTACACTAAATACACTAAATGCAGCCAGACTGGCTGCCAGAGTTGACCTCGCTTACAATTCGCACGCATCCGGCTCTGGCCAATCAAATTCTATTTGGCGTTCTGTCCTTGTTCTTTTCACGCGGGTATTGAACAGTCGTCCTTTCCAGCCCGGTCGGACTTGATATTGCGAGCAGTGTATATATATATTTATATAACTGCACTGTATACTTCCTATAACTGTACTGTATATTTCCTATTTGATCAAATTAAAAAAAATTACAAAACATAATACTGTATACATACCCAATTAATTTAATCACTATTAAATAATATGTTTTTGAATTTGATTAAATAGGAAATAATAATGTATTATAAACTGCTTACCTTCTAGTAAATGTGCGAATTTCATTGGAAACTTGGTGAGTGCGAATTTCTACACTTTCATTCATTCTTTGTACAGTATCAATCGATTCTCGGATTTTTAAAATAGCCTGTCTACTTTCCACAACAAGCTTTAAGCTAATTTCCTTTGATTGTTCTATCATATCTTCTATATATGTTACTTGGTGATTGCTATGTTCTTCCAGAAGGCATTCGCTACATGAAGGAGATTTGCAAGTTTGACAAAACAGCCTATACGGTTCTTTATGATTTTCGCAAAGAGAAATAAAATTATTGCAAAGGGGTGAAGGGTTGCCACTATGGGGTGATGATCCTAGAGAACCTGAGGAGCCCATAGCGTAATATGATGTCGAAAACATTTTTGTATTTATATTACCCAAACTAATACGGTGATCTTTAGTGAGTCTTACGCGTTTATGAGCAAGAACGCAAGCATCACATAACATTTCTCTACAATCAATACATTTTGAAAAGGCAGATGTTCCCTCTTCACAGTTTCCACATAAAGAATTATCGTCAAGAGCAACGTTCTAGAAAAAAAAATCAAAGGTTTAGATTATATAGCAAATTTCATAACCGAAAATAATTTAAAACCTTAAAATTATTTTAATACTAGTATTTACAGGGTGTTTAACAACTTTTCGGATGAATTGTAAAACACACAGGGTGTGTCGTCCAGGTAATACAAAATTTAAAAATAAAATTTACAGAAAATTCAAAATAAAAGGTGGTAAAAATGTTGGTTTTGTTTTGGAATTACTATTTAAATTACACCGATGAATATGTTTAAATGATTGTTGCTTTATTCAAGACCACCTTCCGGTTATTTATGGAAAACATGTTTAGTTAAATGGCCACCGGGAATAGTTTATCCTCTTCACCTAATTTTGCAGTAAATTTTTGATTTTTTGTATTTGACAGCTATTAGTCGAATGTTTTCCTTCAGTGCGTCAATTATTTGTGGGTCGTGTGGAGTAACACGTTCCAAGAAAATGAGCTGCTTAAGAAAAGATAATTTTTTGATTGAAATCGACGTCACTTTTAATCTGACTTAAAGCCCACATGGAGAAGCACTAACGAAGCGGGTGGTAATTTTCCGTTCCAGGTGGGTGGAAACTCATAAGCAAATAATTCGAATTCTGTACGCAAATCATCCGTCGAGCTATTTATCAAATAGAGACACAAACAATCGAAAAGGTACTGCAAAATTGGATAAACTTCTTATCTATTAATACTTAAGATAACCATATTTTGATATATGGATATTTTAAGTAGTCCTACAAAATAAAATTTGACAACATAATTTTTTCTGTTGAAGAATATTTATATACTCCCACATTTAAAAGTTAAATATTATAGGCTATAATTCCTAAATAACGACATTTATTAAATAAAAATAAACTGAATAAAAACAAAGTTTGTTAGTTTAAAAATAAAGGCTCAGCTTAAAAGAAACGTGACATCAAAACTACTTTTATTTACTGTAAAAAGTTTAGAACTTGTTAAAATTTAATATTAATATAAAATTTTACAAAAAAAAATTAATTATTTATACATTTTCATTATCTATAGATCTTACCGCAATAATATTTGATATAAAGTTTTCCATATCGGGTGGGTCCGATGAAGACGGCGATTCTGATCTTGATAGGGGTGAAGATGGAGGGAAATTTTTACAGCAAGACATTGTATAGGTAAGAAACTCCAAATTTAATTTATGTTTTAAAAATACTGAAACAAAAAAAGATTAAACATATTTAAAAAAAATAAGGTCTAGGTAAATACATATTACATGAATTTCACATGAGTGTTCAAAATTGTCTGACAGATTACAGTAAAATTTTATTTGTCAAATACAATAATTAAACAGAATTATTTTCGTTTACAACAATGATATTAGTTTAAATTCCAAAATTTACTTTATTTTAAAAATTTTGGTTATAATCGGAATGGGAAGTGATTTTCTCTTCAATCGGCCTTCGGTCTTCTTAAAATTGGTTTAGGTTAGGTATGGTCTAGGCCATAAAAATTCATTATGTACTTACTACTTTGGACCAGGGTTGTTTTTTTGTTTGATTTAATTTGGATTATTTAAAATATCAATCGGACTCTTTTGTTAAGGAAAGCCCTTAAGAGTCTACAGTTTAATACATTTTTAGAAGATTTTTTTCTATTAACAGGTCTAACAATGTAAAAAAATTACGGCCCCAGTGGCCACCTAACTTTTTCGGAACGGTGGCATTAAATGATATAAAACCCAGATAATGCCACCGTTCTTTTAAAAATACTAAAATTATTATAATTGTAACCTCATCGAAAAATTCGATTATAAGCAATTAAGTCAAATTAAGTTAAATTTGTTTCATAATAAAAAAGTGGTTTTTAAGTTGTTCTGTGTTTAAAATTAAAACGATATTTTTATTATCAGCAATAATATCTTTAGGACAATGATAATGTACGAGATAATTTTATGATAATCAAAAGCACGTTGCTTGATAACAGCCCGACGCCGAAGTCGGAGCTGAAGGGCTGTTACCAACAAACGTGCTTGAGAAAATTGATATAAAATTATGAGCCATTTGTCAATGTCAGAGGGATACCTATTCAGTCAAAAATTTTTTTGATAAAAAAATCAATTACTTACGTAACTTCTCTTGTAAAAGTTTGCTCAAAAAATTTCACAAAGTCATGTATGTGCCATATTTCTTCCTTAATTAATTCTTCTACGCTTCTACTATCATTTAACTCATATTTTCGTTAAGAGCAAAACTCCATAAATATTCCCCATATGTATATTTGACTGTTTGTGGTAGTTTTTGAAATTTACATATATGGCTGTTAAAAATGTCAAAAATTATATAAAATATCCCCGCGTAATATGTTTGTTTTCGAGACAATATATATAACAATTATTATTATACAGGGTGTCCAGAAAATGGCGTACCAGGCTGTAGGGGAGTTATGTTAAGTATACAAAAATTACAAAAAAATTCAGACGAGTGGTTTTAAAGGCTCAAAGAAGAAATATATAGGCGATCTTTAGTGAGCCTGGATACTTCTTGAAGTCTGGAATATCACTTAACCGCCGTGGTTTACACTTTATTTTTGTTCATATACTACGTGAATGTAAAAAAATAATAAAAATGTAAAGACCAAAATGTTACATTTAAAATTATTTAATTTTGACATGCATGACATCCTCACAGTTAGATATACCTTTCTGCAGAAATCTATGCTGTTGGTAATTTAATATTAAAATTTTAATTTATAATACAGTTTAACACGATTTTTCTCCCAGGAAAAATTGTAACAGATTTTAATGAAGGTTAAAAAAAACGTACCGGTGCACCGCGGTGTCTCACCGTTTCACGTCATTTAAGTTTTTTATACAGCCATATAATTTTAACCTATACAGATTTTGTATTTTCTATTTTTTTATAAATCATTTTTTTTTCAAATATTGATGTTTTTACATAATACAAACACTACACCTACTTAAATAAAATAATAATTTTAATTTTTTTTAAGTAAAAAAAAAAACTGATTTTTGGTTTTAATTTTTGATTTGTTTTTAATAAAACAACTGATTTGTATTTATGTTACATTAAATATATGTAGAACAAATCATGATCTTTTAGTTTGACGATTATACAATGCTTTGGTATCTATAATGGTATCACAACCTAAAAAACACCACTTGATATACAGGGTGTTTCGTTGTCCATTGGCACATAATATAACAGCTTCAATAACAGCTGGGCTGTATATTCTTAAGAAAAATTAATTCACTGAATATTTGGACAACCATTAAAATCATTTATATATTTTAAAATTATTTTAATTATATACACCCTGTTTGAAAGTTTCGGAAAAAGATATCTATTTAAATTTAAAAGCGTTTATAATCCATTTAATCAATTTTTTTTTATATTTTGAACAAAATGCCACTTCCGGTTTGACCGGGAGTGAAATAAACTTTGTTATTTTAAATAAAACACAACATAAAATTTACATAAAATACCACAGAAAACCCAGGGCAAAAAATTTATTAACGTGTCAAGTTAGCCCATAGGCTAATTCAAGTTAGCCTATAGGCTAATTTGTCCTTGGGGTTTTCTTGGGTAATTTGTTAAAAAATTTTAAAGAATTGACCTGGAATCTTTTAAACAATGTTTTAAGATTCCAAAAATTTCACCCCCATTTCTGCAAAACTAATAGCAAAAAAAAATATAGGCTATTTTTGATTGACGCTCATTTGTCAAATTTTAACGAACAAAATTAAAAACTCGAAAACTATTTACTTTAGGTACGGGACATGGTACATCAATTTTATGTAAAATATATGGGGCGTTAAAATAACAAAGTTGATGTCACTTTCGGTCAAACCAAAAGTGGTATTTTGTTAAAAATATTTTAGAAAAATAGATTTAATTGGATTATAAAAGCTTTAAAAATTTCAAATCGAAATCTTTTGCCGTTTCTCAGAAACTTTCAATGGACCATGAAAAGGAACCACCCGTATTTCGTAAATGTGCAACACCCTGTATATAATTAAAATAATACTTTAAAAACCTGACGGAAAATATTATAAAGCTAACAAAATATGTATTGTTGGCAGCATAATTTTTATTTATTTTCAGTTTTCTGCATCTAAACTCAAGTCGACAACCATTTCTTTTTAGCGCACGGTCAAAGTCTTTATATAAAAGGCTGACAGAAATGGAAAATAGTCTCTCATGTGGGACCCATATTATGGGTTTAATAGGAAATCATTGTAAATCCCCAACTGATCTTTAACCGGAATTTTCCTATTTGGACCAATATATCGTTTTATTGGTCCGAAGTGGTCCCAATAGGCTTTACGTTGGACCGAATGGGATGCTTCCAGTCCATTCAGATAATATCTGTATTTCCTCTATTGGGAAATTCATACGGGTATCTGATCGGACTAAATCGGAGATTTCTGGTTTAAAAACATCATTCATCCCAACGCTTTATTTTTGATGGTTTCTTTGATGGTCATTTACATCAGGAAAGTTTTACATTTTAAATAAAATAAATAAATATGTACTTTTGCTAAAGAATTATAAAAAAGTAATTTAATTTGGATGAAGATACACATTATCACATAATAATCCAAAAGATTTGGGTCCAGACTCCTGCACCCCTAGAGTGCATATATGCATAGTGTAGGAAGAAAAACAGTTTTATAAACACGTTTCAAAAATAAAAATTACAATAATTGTTAATATATTGTTATATATGTCACAGTCAAAGTATAAATTCCAGTAGATGTAAACAAAAACTAGCTGTGAAAATTAGTAAAAGTGCACTTTTACTAGTGAATGCATACATTATAACTACTATACTATACTACCATCAAGTAAAAGTGTAATACAGTAACTGGCTTGTGTATACATCTACGTAGACTACGTGAAATGTTAGTAAAAGTAGGACACAAATGTGAATATCTGTACTTTTACTAGTTAATGCGTACATAATGTACGCTACATTTACTGTTTGTTGGTTTTGTGTGTTTGGTTATAATAATAATAATAATAATAATAATATAGTTTATTTGCTTCCAAAAAATACAAAGCACGTCAAGGTAAAAATAATATAAGGTAAGAAATGTAATGAGTAAAACATATTAAAATTGGTAAGACAGAACGTATTAAAAACATGTTAAAAAATACCACAAAACAAATTATAAATATTACAAAACATTTAAAAGGACAGATTAAAAAATTCGTTAAAATCGTAGATAACATTATCCAATAAAACTTTTTTTATAGCATCTTTAAAATTTGGTTTACTTTTGAGTCTAATATCTATTGGCAATTTATTGAAGAACTTGATACCCCAATGGTTAAATTACGAAGGCGTAGAAGGGCCAACAAAAATTTTACAAATTTTAGCCAAAACTAACTTTGATTTTTGCAATTTCTATTCTATAATTGTAACTTGAACCTACAATTGTAACTTGAACTTACAATTGTAACTTGAACTTACAATTGTAACTTGAACCTACAATTGTAACTTGAACCTACAATTGTAAGTTCAAGTTACAATTGTAAGTTCAAGTTACAATTGTAAGTTCAAGTTACAATTGTAAGTTCAAGTTACAATTGTAAGTTCAAGTTACAATTGTAAGTTCAAGTTACAATTGTAGGTTCAATAGACTGGGCCAAAAAAATCAACTATTTTTTTTTTAAAAGTATATCGAAAATATGGTTTGGGGTGACAAAAAAAATGATTGTAAAAGTTTAAGTCCATATTATTAATATTAAGGTTTTTTTTCATAATTCAAATTAAAGTGGTGCAATTTATTATCTACTATAATTTATCGAAAAATTTAAAATTTTATTTAAAAAATCCAAATATTACAGATTTTATTCGATTTTAAATATTTATTATTTATTTTATTAAAATAAAAAAATATTTAAAATGGTATATTTGGATTTTTTAAATAAAATTTTAAATTTGTCGATAAATTATAGTAGATATATCTACTATAATTTATCGACAAATTTAAAATTTTATTTAAAAAATCCAAATATTACAGGTTAATATATTAACTTGCACCACTTTAATTTGAATTATCTCAAATAATGGGGGCCTGGAGGCGGGTGAGGCGACAGGAAAAACTAACTTTTTTCGCAAACTTAAATTCTGTTTGCGCCGAACTTGTTTATTTAATGTCATTATAAACTATTATAAATTTGGTGGGGGTCCCATGTCTAATAACTGAGATTTTGGTATACATAAAATCCACCAGCCGCCACTGGAATATTGTAATTAATGTAAAAATCAGTACCCTGAA